TCACATATTAATTTTTTTTAAAATTTATAATTAATTATTTTTTGTATTTAAATTTTTTTGACCTAAGTAGAAATTGACTTTATTTTTTATATTATATTCTTTATATTTAAAAATTGTTCCTTCTTATTTTAAGATTTCGGTACGATGTTTGTGCACTTCCGTAATTTTTTTCGAAATCAGATCTCTGTGTACATGGGGACCAACTGTTCGAAAACCAAGAAGTACGTATGTCTTGTATGAAAACATAAGTATGTATCGTCTAATATATTCGATAGCCTCGAGAACTGCACACGATATCTTATTTGCTGTGTAAACATCCATAGCTTGATAATGCTTCTTAACAGGAAACATCCCTACAATATCTTCATTTTTTGATAATAAGAAAGTTATTAGAATTTTGGAGATCTATTGTCTCCATATGAGAATTATCTGAAAAATATAAAAGCATGACCATCTATATATGAAACCGGTGGTTTTATGTGTATTTCTTCTAGTAATAAACTGATATGCTCCAAATAATAACTTAAAATTTCACATTTGTCTTTAAACCCACCCAAAAACTTATTTGTAAGCCAGAATTTCTCCGGCCAGTTTTCAAAGACAAATTTCTTAAATATGAAGAGTGAGGCAAAACGAAATATTCACTATTGCATGCAACATTATAGCAGTTTGGATTATGATAAATTATAAAACACTTCCAGCGAGGAAATCTGCATAATACGAAGAATGCCTCCTTTGAATTGAATTGAATCTGTTCATAACAAAATTTAAAATTCTCATGAATCGGGATTATTTCTTGTTTCTGTGCACTTCAGCATCAGTTTTGATATTTTTTGTATTTATTCATTCCTGTAACTTTAAGTGTCATCATCTAATTTTATGGTAACAATTACATTATGAAACTTTACGTGCAATCATCTGTATGTAATGTGATCATCATGATATCAGAAATACAAGAACGATCTAATTGACAATGAGTGTTTCCACTTTAGACCATATGTCACATTCTAATTGTTGTCCAAGTATCCACTGCTTCAGCAGTGGTCGAGAAGTTGAAACCGCTGAAAACTGAGTGTTCAACTCCGGTTCAGTGCCTGGATATAAACTGGATGCATGGCTAATTTTTAGTGGTTTCCTATACGTAAATTTCTATATGAATCAGTTTTCCAGAGCAAGTCCTTCACGGAGGCATCTCTTCCTTTAAAAGTGCTTTGCCATATTCGAGTAACCTAACCAAAGCTAATTTTAGTGGTTTCATATACGTAAATTTCTATATGAACAGTTTTCCAGAGCAGTCCTTAAAAGTTTAAACTTTGCCATATTCGAGTAACCTAACCAAAGAGCCACTTCAAAGTTTAAACGGAAATTTCCTTTTTATGGAAAATAAATTTCTATACTTAAAAATTCCAACGTTTTTAAATGTACTTTTGAACAGTTCATGTAGTATAGTTTCAGTGACCAAATGCACTTACTCTTGCCGAGAACTTCCAAGAAGAGGCAAGATAATCTTTTTTTTTTTTTTTTTTTTTTTTTTTGCTAAACAGCTTATGAGGTTTCTGAAATTTATAATAGCAGCATTCTTTTTCCATTGTTCAAAACTGCTTATCACAGCGAGCATTTATTTCAGCTTTCCTTTCTTTTTTTCAAGTGTTTTTCTTTTTGTGAGATGTTTGTTTGATAAATAGAATGATCGGTTTTGAAAAATCGTTGGATAAGCTTCTACATTTTTTTTGTTGTTTTTTGTTAATGCTTGGTATATTCTCAGAATTATTCCATCATCACGAACGGCTTTATTTTCTCGACGATAAATTCTTCTTCGAAATACTCAATACAAACATAAGTATATTTCCAAGGAACAAAATCTTTTCGATTATTACTTTTACCCATTTCTGAGAAAGTAAAGGATTCGGACTAAATTTATTAGTGGACACAGTTCATTAGTGCCATTGAAATTTGATCGGTGTTTCGATACACTACATTTGGCAGTATTCGGCAGACTTTTCTATTAATATTTGAAAGCTTTCAGATTTTATATTATGTCCAAATTGACGTTTTCTTCACTTACACACACATACACGCTTCGAAAGCATTTGGGCTAGAAATATTTAAAATCAGCATATCTTCTTTAGAATTTCCGATAGACAGTCTCACCCTCTGGGGGATGAAACGCTTTTATTTTTCCGTACAATGTTGCCACTGCTCGGTTTGAAATTATTGTGTTTTTAACCAAAAATTCATTAACGTTTTACAAAACATGAAATAGGTAATAAAACTAATTCAAAATTCTTGCTTTCAGAGGCCCGTATTCGGGCTCTATTCAAAATTTGATGGCTGTTATTCTTTTAATATAATACAGGGCGACAATATTTGGTGGCAACAATTTGAAAAGTGATTCGGCGCAAAGTGCCGTATCGAGACTAATAGCCCTTCTAGCCTAACGTCCCTTTGGGTTAATAAACGATTGAGCTTAAGCTTTCATGAAATGATGAATGGCACGCTGAACAGCGATCTTTAAAGTATAACATTACTTAAAACTAAATGTGTTATTTTAAAATTATTAAAACTAAATGTATTGTTTTTATGTACTGTCTTGCCAGATTTAGAACAGAGAACTCAAAGAAATATTGTGGCATTTGCTCCATAAATAGCATAAATTGTGAACAGAAATCAGTAATACTACAATTAAGAATCTTTATAAATCGCATTGAATGTTTCACGTTTGTTTCATGTCAACTACGAAATAAAAAGGCATAAGCACAGTCATAAACAGAATACATTACCATAGACATACAGAGGTAATTTTCTCAACCGTTGGTCATAAATATGTACTTCCAATTACAAAAATATTTTAAATGACGCAAATATGCAAGCTTTCGAATTTTGTAATTTAAAAAAGTAATTTTTTGTAAAAAATGCAATATCTAATTTTTTATTCGTTTCTGAAATCCCTAGAGATATATTTAGGAAACTTTTATGTACTCATTGAAAATAAAATAAAAACACATGACTCCGTACTACGAAAATTAACTGATATATTTCATGTTGGACATCATATTCAAGGGACGCACATAAAGAGAAGAGCGAAATATGTTCTTTTGTATTAACTAAAAATAAAATATCTGCTTAAAATTATCGTAAAAGATATGGATCGATGTAATATTTTTCAAAAATTCGTTACAGAATCCCAGACTATTCAAGGAAAAACTGGCAGATTCTCCTTTATTCTTTTCTAAAGATCCTTTCTCTTCATTAGATCATCCGAAAGAGACGTCACAAGATTTGAAGTTGCATGTCTTCTGAATGAAGCAGTATACCGAAAACTTTCCCGTCAATTCAAATTAAATTGCTGAATAAACCGTATACTCTGTTGTGGCTTCAACGTAGACAGAAATTTTAAATAATGCTTAATATCGTTTTATTTGTTTTTTGTTGTTTTGGGAATGCATTCTTCTATATTTTTGTTCTAAGAATTGTTTATGTTTGCTAAGAACTTTAATAAAGATTATTTTCGAATTTAAAAAATGTGGACTAATGTTTTTTAAAGAAACTGCATTCTAATTACAAAGATCAATTTGGAGTTAAGAGCCAATAACTGGTGACTTGACTTGGAATTTTGATTTTAAAATGAATATGGCTGAAGACGATAAAACTGTCGAAGATACTACTCACGAACTGTGTAAGGTAAGTGTTAAAGTACCTCCATTCTAATTATAAAGAATAGTTTGGAGTCAGGAACCAATAAATCTTCGCACATTTTTTGAAACACTAAAAGTATGACAAAAAATGAAAAAAAAAATTTGAATTATTTTTAAATTTTATATTTTGTAAATTTGTATAACTTTCTTATTAGCCCAAAGAGGCCTTAGTCCATAAGTCTTAAAACGGCATTTTGTGGCGTTTTATTGTAAACGCCGAATCACTTCTTAAGTTGTTGCCACTAAATATTATCGCTCTGTATTATATTTAAATAAATTAAACGATGAAGAATCGCATGGATGTATCAGTTTTGCGCATTGGGGAAAACCAACGGTACCTAGGGCCATCCGATTTTGAATAGCATAATCCTCCGATCAAATATAGACATCTGGAAGTCCGAATTTTGAATTTCGAATTTATTTTATTGTGTATTTCATATTTTGTAAAACTTTAGCGAATTTTTGATTAAGATCGGAGCGATTTCAAAACGAGCAATGGCAACACTGTACCAAAAAAACATTCTCATCTCCCACGCACCAGACTGTCGGTCGGAAATTCTAAAGATAGGCTGTTTTTAAATATTTTTAACCCAAAGAAACATTAGTTTAAATGCTCTATAAACGTATATGTGTATGTAATAACACCCCTTTGGTCGTGATATAAAATCTGAAACTTTCAGAATTTTTTTAAAAATTTATTTTCATTCGCATAACTCTGATGTGCACTGGAAAGTACATAGACAATAAATAAAAAGTAAGCACGATATGTAAAGTAGACTTTGAAAGTAACATTTATATAGATTTAGTGATTCTTTCTTATGTACATGATAAGAATTGAAACGTTTAAATCAAGCAGATAAGTGGTCAAAACAAGACATAGAATGCAAAAAGCACGAAAAAAATCTTAAAATCTTTAAGTGGGTCTCACAACAACATAAAACAACAAAGTTTTGTTATAGACTAAGTTCTATAAGAAAATAATTGCGTTACATTTTCTGTTGAAAATGCTACAGAAGATGTCCACTGTATTTTACTCTCCTGACGCATTTTTGACGACGCAGAACACAGTATTCCCCACCCCTCCTCTAGAAACCTTTCCTAGAACTGAAACCACTTACGAATTACATTTTAGTGTTGCTTCAATCTTTATTTTTTCGAGATAGATGTCAACAAGATCTCACTGATTATCTAGAATCCACATACGGATTACGATTACTGCAATCTATGATTTCTTTGAGCTAAATGTAAACATGACCTTTACACATTTTCTTTAAATGGAAGGCTGCCTAACACTGTATTATACAAATCACACTTTTTGAAAATTTTGTTTATTACTCGTTAATATCCAGCATTTTGGTGATCTCTAACTTCTACTTCGGAATGACGATAGTGAGTGCTCTAGATAGATAGAAGCTTTCGTATTTGAAGCTTGGCAGCTTCTGCGGCCTTCTGTTGACGTTTAAAGTGATAGGTAAGTTTCTATAGAATTTTTTTTCTATGATTTGAATCCGGTCGTGTATTAGCCGTTTCTTTACCTTTTTTCAGGCTTTATTGCATGATGTTAATGAAATTAGTTTTAGGGTCTATAAAGGCCTTTTGATTTTGCACAAAGTCTATATTTATCCATTAAACTACGTACATAACCTGAGAAATCACATTGATGAGACATAGCTGAGTCTTCTGTGTAGAAAGAAACATTCCGTACCATGCAGTACACCTAAAGTGAAATATGCATAACACACAGAAAATATCCGCTGATAAGAATTAGACAAATAAAAATAATAATTCCTCATTTCCTGAAATTTCATGCAGTACGAATTGGCTAATACACTACCTATTTATAATATATTTTGCAGTACATAAATGATCAGTGCAATCTATGTCATTATAAGTTTCTAATAATAGAAAAAATGGAATCGTTTTTCATTCATTATCTCTAACATAGCTCAGTCCACCAGTGGCCGAGCGGTAAAATCGCTGAACACTGGTAGTTCGGACTGGGGTTGAAATCCCGGCGAACGGGCTCACTGCATTGACGTTTATGTGATTTCCCCCATGTGTAACGTGTATACGAGCTGGTTTCCCTTAGAAACTCTCTACGAAGGCATCCCTTAAGCAGATAACCCTGAAGTGCTTTACCATAATTAAATAAAGCAAACCTACCCAATTGTGCAGAAAACCTACCTTGTATATTGCTCAGAAACTCTCAGATTTCTAAAGTAAACTATTAATTTAGCTATAATGAAATGTGAAGTATCTTTACGAAATAAATATTCTTGACAAATTTAATTATAACTAAAAAATTAGATATTTTAAGATTTGTCATAAAAAACACTCACAAATCTTAAGTGAATATGAATGAAGACTATGACTTTATAACCATGCTTTTAATCATATCATATAGTGATGTCGTAATTCTAATCATGTTTAAAGTGATAATCATGTTATAAAATCATGATATATAGTTAATCGAACACTTTTTTGATATAAGGAATCTCGAAATCTAGTTTTCATTGTAAGTGAACTCATTTCATAGCCATTACGTTTTACAAAAGCAAGTCATTTAAAGTTTATTTAAATCAGTATAATTCAAATGTTTAACTTTGCTGTACACCTATAAGGTATTTCTCCCGCCTTCCTAGCGTGCTTTCATGGTGTAGTGGCTCTGCACACTGGGCCGGTATTCTACAGGTACTTGGTTCGATTCCTGGCGAAGGCGGTGGCTAATTTTCCAAAAGCTTTAAAAAAAAAAATCCTAATGTCTCTACAATGGCGCCCGAACTAAAAGGGTGTTGGATGAGGATTCTCCGCACCCAGGATTTGGAGATCGGGTCCCCTAAAATCCCTAGTCGCCCTTTAAAAGGGGGAGTATATAAGGTATTTCTCCCGCTTTCCTAGCGTGCCTTCGTGGTGTAGTGGTTCTGCACACTGAGCCGGTATCCAGAGGTCTGTGGTTCGATTCCCGGCAAAGGCGATTGCTCATTTTTCATCTCTCCGGCTTCTAAAAAATCGTATGTCTCTACACATCTTTGTTTACTTCTGCAGTAAATGCATCTAATTTCATGTGCTTTATTTAGTTCGTGCTACTGTAAAAATTTTATAGAATAATGGCTGTAATTTTGAAATAAAATTTAGTTAGTTTCGTTAGACAGAAGAATTTTACTTGTTATATAAAAAGGAAAAGAAAATATAATATTGGCACTGTTCCTGTTATCGGACCGGATTCAGAAATGTATAAATGTATGCATGTGTGCATGTATGTACATATATGTGTATATGTATATACACATATACATTCGTACTTTCATATATAGATGCCTACATGAACACATACATTCATAAATATATGCATACATATATTTCTTTATCCAGTCCTCATAACAGAACAGTACCACAATATTTTGCATGAATTATTATGAATCAAATAATTTTTGTTTATTAAAAAATTAGCTTCTCAGGCATGTTTCGCAATGCTTATTTAAATGTGAAATTCAAGGCGATTAATTCGCGTTAAATGAGATAATTTTTCTTTCGCAATATCGAAATTAGAATACTGAAGAACTTATATTACTTTTTTAGACATTCTAATAGAAATTAACTCCAGGAGAGTTTTACCTTCCATGACTATTTACCACAATTCGCATGCATGAAATTTCACACAGAAGACCTTTATAAATATGTTTTCCTTGAATTTACGGTTTTCACTTTAACGTCTGTTTCTTTATCAATTTCAGAACATTAGGACATCTCTATGGAATACATTTAAGCAATGTTAAATTAGTTTCAATTTTTTTTTCTTTTTTTTTTTTTAGATTTCTATATGGTTGCCAATTCTTTTCATCTGGGAAGAGTAAGATGGCTGAAATGATTCCTAAAGTGCTTAGAAATATTCTTCCACTTGGCGTTCTTATTATACAGATTTATCTCATTACTATGACTAATTGTTGTCCAGGACTCTCAAATTCTATTGGAAGTAAGTTCACATTGAATAAATTTAGCTCTATAAAATATTCAAATTTAATATTACACGCTTGTCTGAAAATGAAAGGAGCCAAAATCTTTAAACACTGATAGTTGGTCTGGGATTTGATTCCCCGCAACAAATGAAAAATGTGTGAGTACTGGGCCTCTAAAGGCCGAGTAACTAATAGAAATAATATCTCGTGTCAGAAATGCATTCGTATTTTACAATATTGGCACGAATTTTGTACATAAATAGATGATTTTAGTGCAATTATATGTGATATTGTTGTATTTTCTGCGTAATGTAATATAAGAAAATTTTAAAGACACAAGACGCCGGTAATGTAAGAACAAGGGGGCAAGTGCATTTAACATTGAAAAAATGGGTCCCTCGGTAATTTGACGAGATAGCGGCAGGCTGGCAATGGTTTTGGCGACTTATTTTGTCACCAAATTTGGCAACAAATCGCCAAAAGTGACCAAACTTACCCACATAGCACAAAAACATCCTCGGAATATTCTGAGGATGTTGCTCGAGGAATATGCGCACATCCTCAGGGCAACCCGGAATATGCCCCGAACCTCCTAAACACACGCTCCTGAGTGCTTAATGCACATCCCAGTATATCCTCAGGACATCCTAACTAAGTCCCATCGACCGCATACGGGATGTTTTCAGGATCTGAAATCCTACTTACTACGCCCTCAGGACATCCCGGGATATCCCCCTAACCCCCTAAACACGTCCCATAATATCCTCAGAACATCTTATCTATGTTCCATCGACAGCACATGGGATGTTATTAGGATTTAAAGTCCTAGTTACATCCTCAGGACATCCAGTAATATTCCAGTTTCCTCCTAAACTTAATGTCACATCCCAGTATATGTTTAGAACATCCCATCTAGGTCCCATCGATAGCATAGGGCATGTTATCAGGATTTGAAATACTCGTTATTATATCCCGGAATATCCATTTAACCTCTTAAATACATAGTCCCGACTGCTTAACGTCACATCCCAGTATATCTCCAGGAAAATGTGTGAAGGTGTTGTGATGACCCAAAACCTACTTATTTTCCATAGATAATCTCAAGTCCTCTTCCTAGATAATAAAACAAATTCAAGCTTCGGTCTTCCAGGTGCCCATATTCGGGTGGAACTACGTTATTCAAAATTTGGTGGCTCTAGGTACCGTTCTTATTTCACAATGCGAGAAAAACGCATACATTCATGCAGATTATTCGTTATCCGATTTCTTTAATCATAACACAGGGCGATAATATTTGATGGCAACTAACTGAAAAATGATACAGCCATTTATAGTGATTCGATGCAACATGCCATTTGGAGACTAATAGCTTTCCTGGGCTAATAATGTAACTGCACCTGGAAAAATATTGCTGACGACACATAAATAATTTTCAGACACTCGCAGAAAATAAAATCCGCTCATGTTAAGCAGTATGCAATTTAAAAAGTTTTAGTTCATCCGCAGAAATTTGGCACAGATGTATCTTATATGTCATAACAAAGAGTAGATGAATATGTTCTACCATAATCATTATTTCAGTTGTTTAAATATTGGTGAAGCGGTGTGGAAGTATGAAGATTTGAGTTTTGTTTACAAAGCAAAATAGTTTCGGCACTCCAGCCATTGCTGATGGACAAGATTATAATAAACACAGCAACAGTAATTGTCTATGAATACTGATGCATAACACTACATAGACGGAGATTTCTTATGGTAATATCTACAGAATCGTTACAATTAATTGAAGCGAAAACAAGAAGACTGCGTATGCATTTTCCTTAACTGAAACATGGATTTGACCTTACAAAACTTTGTTTTATGTGACTTATCACACTCTGCAGATAGACAGTAAATAGTGTTTGTGTTGCTGTCCACTATTTTTAATTTCTTATCAGCTGTGAAATAAAAAGATAAAGCTGTAAAATACAGAAGTGTACTATATTTTAACTGCCTTTCTTTCGTATTTCATGTTTGGACTACCTTTAAAGAAGTAATGAATTTTGATACTAATCAGTATCTGAATAATGATTATTGGAGATACAGTAAGAGAATGAAAATTTTAAATTCGGTTAAAAATCAACCTTAATGTGCCATATTTTTGAATTAAACTCTATCAACTTCCAGGGCAACAAAATATTCCTCTTTCTTAGGGGATTTAACTAACTATTTTTAAATTCATAGCTATGTATGAATTTTTTCCCTCAATAAATGAAACAAAATTATAACTGATACAGTCAAAATTCTTAAATGCAAGTATATAAAATTTACTTAAGCATTTGAAAGAGATGAGACACACTTACTGATCACATTAGGAACAAATTTGTATCAAAGAAAAAATTATTAAATCTGGCATCTTTCATAATCTGCCATCATCATTCGATTACATTGCTACACCATGTTATCAGTTTGAAAAGCAAGTTAAATATCAGATCATGGTTGTCAAAGAAATACACAAAATAATTACCGGATTTGCCTACGTATATGACGCACTTTTTTTCTTTGAAAATAGGTCTGAAAAAGTGTGCGTCTTATAGGTTAATATTTCCGTCTTAAATGTCAATATTTGTTGCGTCTATACGTCGTTTGTGAATGGGTCAAATACTGTAAATTCATTATAATGATCAGTAATAAAAGTTTTTTCTTTTAAAAATATGCACAAAAAAGAAGGTGCGTCTTTTACGCCAGCAAATACGGTAATTGATTATTGAAAAGTGAGATATATCAGTAATCATAGATAAGATTAAATGGAACAGAAAATGTACAATTATAACTACACTTTTCAGTGAAGTGTATTATTTAATATTTTGCAATATTTAAGATACGACATTAAATGCAAAAGCTATGTCCATGAACGTGAGTTAATAAATTTTAAAAGAAAAAAAAAGAAGAAACATAATAAAAAAATTTCAAAAACAAGCAGAATTTAATTTAAAAGCCTTTTCACTTATGATAAATAAATTTTACATACTTCCTCATCCAAAATAAAATCGGAATTAACAAAAACCAGTTTGACTGGCCTTCAAGAAATCTTTCAGCTACAATGTTAAGCTTCCAAGATAATTTTATAAAATAATTACCATGATCAATTCTGTTCTGCATGATAATAACATCCTAAACATTTCAAATTACTACAAAAAGTTTTGTAAAAATACAATAAATAGAATAGATTAGAACAAATAATAGAAAAGTATAAAACATCATTTCAACTTAGCATAATTAAACATTTTGGTACTTTCTGACTATCAGCAGAGCCGTGAAAATTGGTAATTTTGAGGTTTTCTGAACTGTCAAAATATTTGCTTGGTTAGCTTATGGTTCACACCTACTGTTCTGCTCACAAATAGTAATATAAAAATTTAAAAAGCGTTTTATAAAAAACAAGAAATTTTAGGAGGTTAAAAAAAATCTGTATGGCTGATATTCAAATTTTAGCCACTGGAATGCTATTCAGAAATAAAGATGAATATAAAACATGCAAATATAGTATATGATATGTATATTCATGATATGCAATTTTAGCAAATGTTGAAGCTGTGAGTGCAGATAATCAGAAAGTACAAAATTTTCCATGTACAAGAAGAGATTACCCTGATAATAAATACACTAGTGTGCAAAAATTAAGGACGAGACGGTTTTTTCAATATAACTTTGTACAAAAGGTTTCCAAATCAACACATTTAATACCGTAAGATCCCCAAGTGACATGAGTAATGTAAGCAACACTTACTAAAAGAGAAATCAGAGGGATAAAAAGAAGCTTTATTGAAAAAGTAGCATGGAGCGCAATGCGACTGAAGGCCGAAACATCCCTGTGATGGGTGTCCAGCAAGAAACATCCGGTCTTTAATAGGGGATATGATCTCCCCTGACTGCTAGGCAGGTTTCACAGCGTCTGCCCATGCTGAGAATGAGGGTGTCAATGAGTTGTTGAGGCATTGCTGCCCATTCGTCTTGCAGCGCCAATCGAAGCTCCGGAATCGTTACTGGTGGTAAGGTACGAGCTGCCAAGCGTCTGCCTAGAAAATCCCATACATGCTCGATGGGATTGAGATCCGGAGATCGTGCCGGCCAATCCATACGTTCAATATCCTCACTCTCTAAGAGCTGTTCGGCAGCTACTGTGCGATGACATGGTGCATTGTCGTCCATGAAAAGGAACTGCGGACCCATAGCGCCTCTAAAAAGACGCACATATGGAAGAAGAATCTCGTTACAATAACGGGTCCCGTTGACTGAACCTGCGTCGAAGATGTGAAGGTCTGTACGACTACCAAGCATGATGCCTCCCCAAACGAGAACACCGCCACCTCCATACCTGTCCCTTTCAATGATGTTCGAGGGATGATTGCGGCTTCCCCCTCCCCGCTCTCTCCAGATGAGTATGCGATGAGAATCGCTACTCAGACTGAATCTGCTCTCATCTGTAAAGAGTACTCGTCCCCATTCATTGTCTCTCCAATTCCGGTGTTCCCGGCACCACAGAGAACGCCTTCTCCGATGGGCAGGCGTTAGAGGTACACACCGTACAGGGCGTCGTGCAAACAGACCACCACCGTGCAGTCTTCTGGCCACGGTAAAACGCGATATCGGTCGTCCAGTCGCCTGTGTCGTGTGTCTAGCGATTTCTCCCGCTGTCTGCCGCCTGTTTCTTCTGGCCTGTAAGGCAATATACCGGTCATCTGCGGGTGTGGTTCCTCGTGGACGACCACTACTAAACCCCCGGATAGCTGTTCCTGTAGTTTGAAATTGTCTCCAAAGTCGTGAAACGATGCTGTGAGCAATTCCGAACTCTGCAGCCACACTTGTCACACTGCGGCCTTCCTCCAACTTCCCAATGATTCGACCTCGGGTAAAAGCATCCAGATGTCGTCTAACAGATTGATTATTCGCCATTTCTCGCTGAGGCAGCAACTCGGTGTGATTTTAACTGCTATACGGCGTGCAATCTCTTTGCCAGAAATACTGATCTTACACCGACAACATGCTTTATACTACTCAGACACTCCCCCATTACGTCTACCTGCATATCTGCGCATGTGCTACCGTACATCACCTTACTTAATCTCCTGATTGGTCTTTCTGTCCGCTCTGCCTCTTCGTTCAGCTGATATGCTAATTTTTCGACTTCGTCCTTAATTTTTGCACACCAGTGTAGTTTTTTAATTTTTTAGCCTTACTAAAAGAAATATTAACAATAAAAAATTAATTATTTAAATTATTTTTGGTAATTATTTAAAAAATTTTCAAGAAATTGAAATCATTTTTATTTTACTAACATATAATATAAATAAAATAAAAATTAAAACCGTGTACATTTCTCATGAAGCCCATCATTTCCTAAGATGCCCACTTCTGATAAGTGCCCAGCATTTCTCAGGGTAGAGTTAAATTATTGAACTAAGCATCAATGATAGTCATGTTCTCTAATACAATATTGACAATGCAGAAGACTAGCATTGTCCTATCAAGGGTATGGCGGCATTCCTGTGACTCCTGCTGAGCTACTGAAAATTTTTAAGCCCAAAATTTGCAATAAAATTAATACGAAGGTTACACATGTTGATCTTGTTCTGTGCGTGTTTGCGCTGACCTATGAGATTCTGGAGGAGGATATACATATTAGACCTTATGCTGCTCATTTGCTTCACTCAAACCCATGTGACCTTGATACCAATGACAACACAATACTTCTGTATACTGAGAATTTTCTGTAGAAAATTGTGTTTCTTCAAATTTATGGAACATATGGAACGTAATTTTCTGTGCATTTTGAGTGGTAGTTGTACATAGTTTGCAAATAAACCCACATCTCAGAATTCGTTGAAGGAATTCATCTGACTAGCTCCCAAGCCTCCGGTCTGCTTCCAAGAAATAAAGTGCTCAAAACGTTTTCCCAGACAAATTCACCTCATATTGAGGATATACAGGGTGTTTATAAAGTCCTGGACCCATTTTAATGTTTAATAACTCATAAAATAATAAAGATAGATTAAAATTAATAATATAAATGGTTAGATAGATTCAAAAAGTTTTCATGACCCGTGTCGATGAATTTCCAACTTGTGCCCCTTCGTCGCACGGAGAATATCAAGTCGATATTCAATTTCACGCCGGTACCGGGCAACATGTCGGCACCACGAGGCTATTGCGGTTGTATTCTGGCTTTTGTCATCGATTTCGACACCCTCCTCCTGTAAACGTTGTCCTTTACAAATCCCTAAAGGAAAAAGTCCAGCGGCGTTATACAGGTGATCTGGGTGCCAAGAATTGGACCTCCTCGCCCAATCCATCTTCCTGAAATGGTCGTCAAAGAACTACGAACGATGGTACCCCCAATGAAGGTGGCACCATCTTGTTGCAAAAAGACATGTGGTTGAAGCTCTTCTAGTTGTGGAAATGCGACGTTTTCCAATATGTCTAAGTATATGACTGATGAGAGCGTCTTTTCTGTAAAAAAAAAGAAAGGCCAATGACTCGGTCGTGCATTATTTCACACCATACATTAACCTTTGAGGAATCCCTTTGTGCCTCACGGTATTCGTGGGGGTTTTCAGATCCCCATATGCGCACATTATGGCGATTAACAATGCCAGAAAAATTTAAATGCAATTAATAAGCAGACGAAAAGTACAGATATTTAGTCTGGAAAAAACTGAATGAACCACACCGCAGACGATATTTACAAAAGTAAAGATATTCAACCTGAAAGGAAATATATAAGTTATTCCATCATAAATGTCATAAGTTTGTTTATATCTTCATTATTTTATGAGTTATTAAACATCAAAATGGGTCCGGGACTTTATAAACACCCTGTAGTTAACTGCGCATTTCACAAAGGTCAGGCTCTAAACTGGAATTTCTGAAGTACTGGTAAGAGCAGGGAAAAATACTTCCTGCTGTAAGCCAGTATATTCACCAAAGCATCAAAGTATCAAGAGGAAATATTAAAAAATATCAAGGTATCAAACATATCCAAAATGTTAGACTTATATTTTTGCGTATTTTCTCAAGTTTTGCTTATTGACGTAAATAATTTCTTTTCAGATATGACAGGAGATTTAGAGGAAGAAGCAGGCTCATCCCTAAGAATTCAATGCCATATATTTCGCACTCAAATAACAGTTAATAATTCCATCTACAATGTCTCTTCTGATTATGTAATGATAAAATTTCAAGGCAGACAGCTAGACAATGTTGTTAGACTGGATGAGCGCACTGTTGAGTATTTTATTCCGAATGCTAGTACTAATGACACTGGATATTATCTCTGCTTTGTAAATATTCCAAATGTCAGTGCTAAGCAATTTGTGTGTATAACACATGTCGCCGTTGGCTGTAAGTATATTTTCTGATTATTTTTTTAAATCATCTCGATTCATAAGAAAAATATTAATCTTTTACGAGGTTATTTAGTACATTTTCTAACTCATGAACTTCATTTCGTATAATATTTTATAACTCAATGTAATAGATGCATTTTAGTTGCATATTAATTTCTAAAACCCATAACTGGTATTCGAATTTTCTGGCAGAAGTATTAAAAACCCACTCTACTGACTCTCACGGTTTTCACCAGGGGCCAAATCGATAAAACACTGACCACTGGAAATTCGTAACAAGCCCAGTTCTTAACAATGCATACTAAACTTATCTTTCTCGAGAATTGTCTGTACATTTATTGGCAGTCAAATTTGCTGTTTACCAATATAAGAATTTCTTCGGAAATAGTAAATCTCGATTACGCGATTTAGTTTCACTCGAGGTTACCCAGACTGTATAGTGGTTAGGGGAGCCGACTGCGATACCATAGGGCCCGGGTTCGAATCCTGGAAAAGCCATGGTTAACTGTTCGTTTATTCATAGGGGGCAAAGGTGTCCCACCTGTTAGGCTCATATCACACATGCATTTGTTTTCATACGAACAAGTGTTTCGAACAAATTTTCTGCCTGTTTTACTATTGAAAGTTTTTCTGCCTTCTGTTTCAAAATCTTAGCAAAATGATTTCAATCAGAATCGACGAAATGAAGATATTTTGGGGCATCTGTATGTACATGTCAGTTGTAGATTTACCATTTAGAAGATGGTAATGATCACTGTAAACAAGGCAGGAAATGATTGCAAATGCTATGACCGTAAATCGTTGGGAAGACAAGAGGATGCCCACAGAGTTCCTGTGCGGGTCTTCAACTCTGGAACTTAACCTTCAATAAACTCCTAAATGACTCCTGGCCTTCGCATACGCAAATATATGCGTACGCAGATGACGCCGCTCTGGTCGTCAAAGGACGTACCCGTGAAGAATTGCAAAAGATTAGCAATGAGGCTTGTCATATCTTCCAACGTCACTGCGATGACCTGAAATTAACCATAGCACAAAACAAATCGCAAGTACTATTAGTGCCAAAAAAGGGAGGCTCCCTGGCAAGGAGACCAAGAATAGAAATAAACGGACAAAAGCTAAAGATCCTTAAAGAACTGAAATATTTAGGCGTGATAATAGACGAGAAACTTACGTGGATACCACACGTCCTTTCAATCAAACAGCGAACTCAGGCTATAGCCAAACAACTCAGACAGTTCCAGAGTTACAGGTGGGGCCTGAACCACCACATCCAGCAAATCCTTTACAAAACAGTGGTAGAAAAATTGTAACTTATGCGGCGGCAGTATGGGCACAGCCCATGCGAGGAAGAAAAGTGAGGCACCTATCCACAATTCAACGTCCCTTCGCCCTAAGTATTACCCGGGCGTACATCACCACTTCTACAGATGCGATCAATGCGCTAGCCGGACTGCTACCTTTGCATATCAGGGTAGAAAAAGAAGCAGCATGACAACTTCTAATACAACTGCATAAGCCAGCCACCTTTGCCGACGAGTTATACTCCCCAGATAACTACGAAGCGAAACTGACCCCGGTCGACATTCATCCAGCAGACTATGGACCAGCTCAACCATGGAATACATCAAGCAACAATAAAAACGGACCAGCAGACTGCACGTACCACCAGCAACGTACAGCAACCTTTCAAGCATCGTCATATACACGGACGGTTCAAAACTAGACGACAACGTGGGAAGCGCCTACGTAGTTACAAATAACAATACAGTAGTTGCTCAGTGGAAAGGACACCTGTCCACCTACAACAGTGTCTTCCAGGGAGAAGCGGTAGCGATTGCTAAAGCCCTACGCTACTTGCTCAACCAATGGAATACATCAAGCAACAATAAAAACGGACAGCCTGTCGGCTATCTATGCAATTGTAACCCTGTCCATTCTTCTCAGATTATCAGAGATATTCAAAAAGACCTACGAGTTAATCCACAAAGAGATTACCACATTGCTTAGATTAAAGTACACGCAGGTTAGCAAGGGAATGAGGCTGCAGATGCTCTGGCTAAGGAAGCGGCAACTGGAACCTCCGACGAACAGATTTACATACTCTGGCCACAATCGCATTTTAAGAAAACTTTACGACTGCAAGCAACTAGTCTCTGGCAAGAAAAATGGGATAACAGTAATACGGGTCGAAGGACACACTACCATCTGTCCTACGTCTCCCAAGACCGATGCTGTGGCAACCCTAACCTTACGCGCTATATAACAGGGCATGGCCCTTTTCCAGAGTATTTCGAAAAGCGAAGGATTAGTGACACAGGCAACTGCAGCTGCGGAGCGATAGGTTCCCCGGAGCATTATCTCGAAGAATGCCCAATCACAGAAGACCTATACGTCAGATTCCCTGAACAGAATCGCCAGGCATATAGCAAATTTCTCATTAAGTAAAGATACCTAGTGGCCAAAATCAATGGAATAATGGAAAAATTAGCCGAGTTAGGCACGGACTTGTGTGTCAAGTTTAACACTCTCATGCATACAGCTTTCCTACGAGTTTTGCACAAAAATTCAAGCGCACTGTCAACTAAAGTTACGAACAGTGTTATGCAGCCAAGAATGATGCATATAGCCATTCGTCTTGTATAGCTAAGAGACGCAGTGTTAAACAAAGCTCAGAATGCCGTGTACAATTAAGTGTGTCATGTGTCCAAGATCCGCAGTGTCATATATCGCTAAGAGATAAGTCATATATGAGACAATACGATAGTCCACAATGCAATGTAAATAACTAGCATGCACAAGGCATCTATTTGTGAACAAATCGCATCTAACAGCTGGTGAAATATAGATTAAAATATCTGTTCTATGCTCCCGTGGTATACAAATAACAAATGCAAAGAACGCATCTAAGCATTCTGTAACTTATCCCACCTATGTACTGTACGTATGAACTGCACATACGAACTTATGAGCTGCATACATGAACTTATTGCGTGTAACTCTTGGTCATAAATAGGTGCAAGTACACTCTGTAGGTATCTGTAGACAAATAATAACAATGTATAAGTTGTACAAATATGTAAACAACGCGCACATAGTCTTATATAATATATATATATATATATATATTCTATCCAATTTCTTAATTTAGTGTATTGTAATTCTGTAATTGCGTAAATATGTATTATGTAGCAATGTATTTCTTGTATAGAGCAATCTATATAGTACCATATGGAAAATGTTTTAAAATATAACCCATTTCATAATTTAATGTAATACAGTAGATACGTACTGGACTAATTAATTTCTTTCGTATGTAGTGTAATATGTACTCAATTCATGCAATTACCGTAATGTGTCATCCCAAGTTTTCCTTATAGATAGTGTATTTCAAATTTCTCGTATGTGGTGAAATGTATACTTAAATACTTTAATCACCGTAAATGTTATTTTTTCCATATCATTAGTATCAGCAACATGTATGTTATGTAACAGGCACGCTGAAGTATGTAAAAGGAAATCTTGTTTACTAACGTTTTTTATTTTAATCTTTCTATCACTTCTTATTTTCTACTTCCGGCCAGAATATAACGTTAAGGTTTTTATGCAAAGTTTGTCTGGCGAACGCCAAGTATTTAAGTTGTGGCTTTTTGCCAAGCGAGAGAGAGAGGAGCGTGAGTCGAAGCAGGGCCGCTTACCTTAGAAGTTACGCAGTTGCTGGTTTGCCTTCCAGGCCAGAGGTTTTAAATCCTCTTGATAAATTTTAAGCGTATTGTAGTGTTCACAGTTCTCTTACTACATACGCTTCCTGTTAATATAAGGCCAATCTTCCACGTTTACTATTTTAAAGTTAAATTAGAGTTTAGTTCTATTTTATATTTTTACGTTAGACCCCAAGTAAGCGGGTCCGTGTATTCCGAAGTACGGAAGTTATTGAAATAAGAAAATAAAGGTTTTGTATACCCTTCTTGTGTATCCTGTCTACTTAAATACTGTAATCACCGTAAATGTTATTTTCTCCACATCGTTGCAGTATCAGCAACATGTATGTTATGTAACAGGCACGCTGAAATATGTTAATTCTACAATGTATTAGATGTATATATGCATTAAAAATTATTCCACTTTCAGAGCGTTATAGCACTCAGCGTATTCTGTATTGCATATAACAGTGTCTAATCGCATATATATATATATAGGTAAATTGTATGTAATAGTGTGTAATCGCAAATATCAGTGTAAGTTGTTGCTTGTGAATTTGTAATACTCATGCATTGGAAAGTATGCATACGTTATGCTTATGAAATGTGTAAAACCAGTTTTCCTTATAGATAGTATATTACAAATTTCGTGTATGTGGTGTAATGTATACTTAAATACTGTAATCACCGTTAATGTTATTTTCTCCATATCGTTAGTCAGCAACATGTACGTTATGTAACAGGCACGCTGAAGTATGTAAGAAAAGGTATGTTAATTCTACAATGTATTGGATGTATATATACATTTAAAAAAATATTCCAGTATCAGAGCGTTATAGCACTTAGTGTATTCTGTATTGTATGTAAACAGTGTGTAACCACATATATATTTGTAAACTGTATGTAAGAGTGTGTAATCGCAAATATCAGTGTAAGTTGTGTTAATTGTAATATTCATGCACTGGAAAGTATGCATACGTTATGCTTAAGACACAGATATCAGTGTATTATCGTTCCTAGTGAAAAACGTATTGTGTGTATCAGTATATAAATGCAAGTATCCAAATATCAGTATCAGTGCTGGCGGTATATAAATAAAGAGTCAGCATGTAATCGCACTCAGTGCTTACTACTCTGTACATAACAGTGTGTAACCGCAAATATCAGTATTAGTTATGCAAATCGTGATATATTTATGCATATGAAAATATGTCTACATGTATTAATGCCATATGTGGTCATCAGTGATCATTTGCTGTCTATTGTCAATGTCATCGGTCAATTAACTGTATTTATCAATGTCACGTGATGTCATCTGTGATCATTTGCAGTCTTTTGTTAATGTCAACGCACAATTATGTACCCTTCTCAATTATGTATTCCAAAGCATATGTAAATTTTAAACGCCCCTGTATGGCCATGTAGCATCTATTGTTAATGAATCAATAAATACTGGACCCGGGCAATTTGGACGGGAGTCTGCCCGGTATTAGGTGGCAATTGGTTCGCAGAACTGTCAACCGGTTGGTTCAGATGTTGGGTCTGAGCGTCCTGTGCGGGCCGCACATGTGGCCCTCTGGTCAAACTCTAGATAAGGGTGGGCGTGGCACTATGCTAATTAACTTATTAGTAAAGGGTAGTGGTCACGTACTCCGTCGCTTGTCGCTTTAAAAAAAAATCTTATTTTGAATAATTAACAATAAATTTATTTTAAACACTTTGCTGAAGATTGATGTGCTTTAAGTTTTCACTTCATTTTCTAGTATAATTTTATACTGAATTTAGTGATTAATCAGTTGCTATATGATGCATTTGTATTTACTAAACAGTTATGAAAGTAAATGTGAAAGGCAGACTGACCTGAAAGATCAATGTATCAGCGAAAATTGTATAAAATGTTCTATCATTTTCAAACGCAGCATATAAATGCCGAGAATTTAAAATGATCATTAGTTTTTAACTCGCACTGAGAGAATCAAATGCAGCTGTTGAACGTGTTCGTTTGTTAATAAATGCCCTATGGATAGACCAAAAAATTAGAAGTAATATTGACGTTGAAGGCATTAATAACTGAAACTCCCGTTTTGAAGATTTCTTCTTTTACATTAATTAATGCAGAGAAGACTGGAAACGTTTATTTACTATCGATACTTGATACCTTAGAGAAAAGTATATGGAAGACTGTAAGTGGAACTTAGAAGCTTAGTAACACGTTTGATATAACATCTTTCTGAGAGAAAGTGATAAGACACAATTATTTTCAACCATTTTATTTCAGCATGGCAAGTTCAACCTTCCGGATTAGCCCCACGAGTGGCCGAATGGTATTGACAGTTGAATGCTGGTAGTTCGATGTGTTACGAGTTCAAACCCAGGCGAACAGGCTGCTGCCTGTTCTTGACTTTGATACTTTGTTGGTTATTCTGGCATGCAGCGCGAGATGCATTACTCCTTGTCTTAGCAGATTCCTGAATAAGTTCCTTTAGTGTCCTGACGTATGTAAAAGTCCAAAGATGAAGCTTCTCTAGTTGAGATAGCCTTGTAAAAGAAAAAGAGATGGGAAGACTTCAGCTTCGGTGATCAGCAAGCCATGTCTGGGACAGCTACAGAAGGACAAGGAGGCGGAGAAAGTGGCCTGAAACACGTGAAGAAGTTTGTCGAAACCTAAACGTGGTGAGCTTGCAAACTACTGTACAATACAAAAAACAATCCATGTATGCAGTAACATTAAAGAAAAATTCTATGTACAATACAAAATAACATCTGTTCTGATAAAACAGGACTGTTGCCTGAT